GGCCTGCAGGCGCCTGCGCTCCTGGGGGGGGGCGGGAAGGGAGGAGGAGGAGGGGGAGGAGGAGGAGGAGGAGGAGGAGGGAGGAGGAGGAGGAGGAGGAGGAGGAGGGAGAGAGGGAGGAAGAGGAGGAGGAGGCGGAGGATGAGGAAGGAGAGGAGGAGGAGGAGGAGGAGGAGGAGGAGGAGGGGAAGGGTTCCCACCCTCTGGAGCGCCACGATGTGAGAGAAGCACGACGTCGGGGTAGTGGGCATGTGCCGATACCGCTCATCGCTGGACCTCCTTCGGGGCGCGGTCTGACCTGGATTCGGAGGCGGGTCCAGCCGTGGCGACGAGGAGAGAGCCGCGGCGTCGGTACAGTCAAAAACCCTAATAAGGACGCGCGGTAAGGACGCAAGACCCTTGGAAGCCGACGTTGGGATTTCTGGGGCGGCGGACGACGAAAACCCCAAGGACGCAAGAGCAAGGAAGAGCAAGGACGCAAGGGTACTCTGAGCAAAGTCGCGCGTCCTTATTCGGGTTTTTGATTGTATCTTCCCAGAGCGATGTCCGGACTTTTTCAACACCGGGTCCCCGGAAACCCCGACCCTTCTTCCCCAGGGCCGGCTTTCAATCCTGAGACGGTGTGCTTGACGGCCCGGGGGCCTGGGAAGGGCCCCCCAGGGGCCCCGAACGGCCAAAAACCTTCCGTGCTGTTGTTTTCACGCCGCGGCCATGTCTGGGCTTACGCCCCCCCGCTGGGAAGGGCCTGCAGGGGCCCCGAACGGCCAAACACTTCCCGTCCTGATGACTTCACGACGCGAGCATGTCTGGGTTTACGCCCCCCGCTGGGAAGGGTCGCAGCGTGGGCCCTCGACCCTGGTTGGCAGAGGAGGAGGAGGAGGAGGAGGAGGAGGAGGAGGAGGAGGAGGAGGAGGAGGAGGAGGAGGAGAAGGAGGATACAGGATACAGGATACAGGAAATCCGCGAAAAGGCTCCATCCACTCTGGGAGCCATTGCTGGGGGCGTGCAGCACTCGAATGAAGGCTACAGGCCTGTGAGGAGGAGGAGGAGAAGGAGGAGGAGGAGGAGGAGGAGGAGGAGGAGGAGGAGGAGGAGGAGGAGGAGAGGATAGAGGAGTTGACGGCGGCGGGCCTGAGCTTCCAGGCGGCCGTGGTGTGCCTGCGCAGCTGGCTCACTGGTGTGCTTACGCAAATGCTGCGCCTCCGCTGCGACGACTCGGAGCCCATGCGCACGCTGGAAGCCGCCGTGCGCGTCTTCCTCGAGAGGACGCTCGGGCAGGGCCTTGACGCCGCGGCCTGGCGGCAAGCGACGCTCCCCCTTCGCGTAAGTGGACTCGGCCTACTAGACCTGGCCACGCTCCCACTGGCGGCTTTCCTCGGCAGCCTGGGGGCCACCCTGCACCCCATGGCCGCTGGCAGGGGTGTGCACGCGCCAGACGCGCTCCGCCAGCACCTCCCGCGGCTCGCAGCGAACGCAGCTGCGGTCGGGACCCGCCTGGAAGCAGCGGGGGCTGAGGGCGTCCCCGCATTGGAGGGTCTGCTGGGAGGGGCGCCGGCGGGCTTGCATTAGGTCGGGCATGTCCGCCTACAGGCGGATTCTGGGCGAACAATAGAGAATGGTCAACCAAAATATCAAACTGGGCAAAAATGAAGAAACAAAAAAAACGCCCCAGACTATTGTTTGATTTTTTTTTTTGCATATTCCGAAACGTGCCCGGCTTGAGGCTTGCAAAGCAAGAAGGAGTCCACTGCGGAGGCCCAGGCTGCACGAGCTGACGCCCAGACCCCCGACGTCATGATTTTTTCATGACGCGCCCCCCAGAGGTCCAGACCCTTTCCCTATGACCGGTTTTTCGTCCTGAGTCGTTTTATGACGCTCCCGAGACCCGGTGAGGGCCCCTGGAGGCCGAAAATAGGGAAAAACCTCCCGTCGTGATTTTTTCATGACTCGAGGAGGTCTGGGGACGCGCTGCGGCGGGAGCTCCCCGGCGGGCCGCCACGCCTGGCTGCGCCCACGCAGCGGGGCGGCCGCCGGGGCCCGGCCGCGGCCGCCGCGCTCGAGGGGCGGCGGGCTCGCCCCGCGCGCCCTGCCACGCGGCCGTGCGCCTCCGGCTGGGGAGGGTCCACGTCTGCCGGGCCCCTGCGCGGCCGGCCTGCGCCTCACGGAGGACCCAGACCTCCTCGCGTCGTGAAAAAATCACGACGGGAGGTTTTTCGCTATTTTCGGCCTCCGGGGGCCCTTACCGGGCCTCGGGACCGTCAAAAAACGACTCAGGACGAAGAACCGGTCCCGGGGAAAGGGTCCAGACCTCTGGGGGTCGACGTTGTGAAAAAATCACGACGTCGGGGGTCTGGGGATGGCGATGCCGCGCGGCGGCGCCGGTGCTGCACGCGACTGCCTGGGCGACGGGCTCGCGAAGCGTGCGCCTGCTGCTGTGCGGACGGAGCAGGGCCTCCCCGAGCTGGGGAAGGCAGAGCACGCAGGGCGCGAAGTTCTGTCT